CAGGTCCGCCTTCCGAAATCCACAAATTTACAACCAAATATAAGAGTTGGTTAAATGGTAATAATATAAATGCAATGTAATTAGTAATTACTACTAAATAAATTCATTAAAAGTTATAGAAAATTATAAATTTTAGCACATAAATTGCAATGGCATAGTGATAATTACATGAATTTATTACAATTATACTCAGATATGTAGCATTTCATTCGCAAACAAATTAAATACGTTAATTTGTTCAAAATGTTTCTATAAATTTAATATATTTTAAAAGAAAATTTAGACGTAACCGACACCTTGCTGTTACAAAATTCATAAACAGAAAATAATTGTGTACTTACGTCTTTTTTCTTTTTCTTGTAATTTGAAACCATTGCATATATAGCTACGAAATTTTCAGAGATGATGCTAATAGACCTAAATTATCGATTTCTATACAAAAACGAAAATCGAAAATCAAGTCGCTTACGTCCATTTTGCAAAAAGGGCTCGACATGTTTTGTTAACTTTAAATATCTATTTATTTTTAAGAAAAATCATAGTTTCAATTGTTTGTTTAAAATTAAAAATTACTCTCTATCATAAAGTTACTGGATATTTTTTACTAGAAAGTACGCGAACGGACCTATTATGGGCTCCTAAAGTTGGGCATTTCAAGTATTTTTGTGGAAAATTAGCAATGTTGACGACTTTATTACTTTGGAACCCGTTATCCGATTATAACAAATGAAGTCTCGTCCGACAGGACTCCGATTACTCATTATTTGAATTTCATAAAATTGTTTGGTCCTTTCTCAAGGACCATAAAAAGGAAAATATCCTTTATCCTTGAATATCCTGAAAAATGGTATGGCAGTTTTTATTTAGCTACATTTCTATAGAAAATGTGTGCTTTTTACAAATGCCGAATAATGTACAAATTACCGCAGAGAAATATTATGGATAAAATTATCTGAAATCAAGCCATAATTACACGAAATATTGGAGGTCAAAATAATATATTTTTTTAAAATATATCCTTTCTTATGCATCCTACGAGTTTAGGAGTCATAACAAAATTTGTAGAGAATTAAATTTATGTAATTTTAATATTTTTATATCATGATACAACCATAGAAAGGTAGAATCAGTAGGTAGGTTAGTTGTCAATTCTCTGCCTTGTTAAGTCAAACAAAAAAGAACTAAAAGAGAAAAACTTCAAAATCTTCAAATGAAAAACCACGAAAAATACTTACCATGAAATGATTCTTGAACGGTACACGCCATGATACAATTAATAAGGTAGCCTCGTCCACACATCTGATTATCAGAAAGAAAGAAGTGAAGGAAAGAAGTCTTAAAAAGCGAATTTATCCACGAATATTTAAAATATTTGGGTTAAATTAATTTGTATTTTGGGTCCTTCATAGCGTCCACGCTTATATTTTTGAGTTTCAGGTAAAAATGTAATTTTGGGAATTTTTTTAAACTGTTAACTTTGGCGGCTTTTGCTAAAAATTATTCACGATAAAATAACTGTACTTCTAAGATGTTAGACAATGTCCACACAAAATATCGTTGATGTGCTATTAAAAAAATTTCAGAATTTTTTTGAACCTCAAAATCTGAATTAAAAAGAGAATTTCCCATATGTACATTAATATATCATAAGAAAACAAACTTATACAGATCTGAAGATATTATTGATTCGTAAGGTATATGGAAGATGCAATAGGAGGGATAAATTGACCTTTGAATATATTATGCATCTATATCAATAAAAAATTTTATGTCCAGGGCTATCAAGTATAAAACCTAAAACGCCAACGGCCCTATCTAACATTTTTAAAATTTTACAGGAGAAGCAAAAAACTATTTATATTGAAAAGTTTGTTTCTATCAACGCGATTTATTTGTAGTAAATAAACGAATTGTTTAATAGTGAAACCTATCATTTGTTATGATGGTTGACAATGGCGTAAATAATGATGGATAAATTGAACTTTTTACCTTTAAAATTTAAATGTTTTTGTAGATAGGGCCTTTTGTTTTTTGTCAATAATTTTGGTCGGAGGAGTCCAATTTTTGGTGTGGACATTTGTTTTGATGCAATACACTATAATCAACAATAAAATCGATTTTGAATTTTTGGTTAGTTAGGGCCGTTTGCGTTTCAGGTGACGAAATAGTGTTCAGGCTCGCGACGATTCATCGGGAACGGAAGTAGACGACGACTGTCTCGACATAGACATTGAGCCCCTGCTTTAATTGTGACCTCCCTCCGCTCGCTACGCCGGTGGTTCTTCAAATTACTGTGAATGACGCTTAGGAATATTGACAAGTGTCATTCCGACTTCCTGTCAATCAACCTAAGCGTCATTACAGTTTATGAAAAACCCCAGCAGCATAAATTCTTGGACAGCGACAACAACTCTTATGTTTCGATAAATAAAGTCCTTTTTGAGAACGTTTGAGAAACTTCTCGATTTTTATTGTACTCATGCAGTAAACAAATAAGTGCATCCTGCATTTTATCATCAAAGTTATTTATTCGTCTCAATAAATAACAAATTTTTTCATATAATGGTTGGAATTTGTTTAAATAGTTAATTTTTTATTGGTTCAAATGCCAACTTTTTACTAATTTCCTGATTGTCTGAAATTGTAAATCTCCATTGTTTAACAGTCTTAGGTCTGTTTTCATATGGACAAACGGAAAATAATGTTTAGAATTAGGTTAAGGGTTATACACCGTAAAAACGGCGTATATCCACTCGGAGACCATAAGGTCCATTGTGATTCCCTTCAAGAAGTGAATCATAAATAAAAACGAAAATCCATGTCCTCCTATAAAGCCCAGTCAAAGAAGTGACTAATTCCCTTGACAAAACCTAGTAGGTTGTGAGGGTTAAGTCCAGCAATTTTCCCCAGTTCGCCGTGGAACCTATTCCCTAGCCATTTCAGCCTGAGGTTTTGTATCCTAGGACATTGGTAGATAATATGCTCGATCGTCTCTACTTCCTCCTCATCTTCGCATAACCTGCAATAGTCCGGTATACTACTGTCCCACTTACTGACAAAGGTTCTAACTGAGCAGTGTCCATTTAGAAACTCTATCAGAACCCTTAGACTGCGTCTTTCCAGTCCTATAAGTATTTTGGTAGCACCCATATCAAGTTTTGGCCACAGGGCTTTTGATATCTTGCAATCCAATCTACTATTCCAGGACTGGTTAATGATGTCACGTATTCTTTCGAATATCATCCTATTATAGTGACAAATGGGTGGTTTTACCATCCTTTCCCTGTCATCTATATCAAGGTTCGAACCCAATCTAGCTAGTTCGTCCGCAACCTCATTACCATGCACATTACAGTGCCCTGGCACCCAACACAATCTAATGACAAATAGTCTCATAATGTCCCTAAGGGCATTTCTACAATCCACAACTAGGCGCGAATGTACCGTGTGACAAACCAATGCTCTAAGAGCAGCTTGGCTATCAACATAAATGTTTAGAATTATCTATCCAAAATTTTTAAAAATCACAATAAAAAATCAAAGAAAACATTAAATTTTGTACTAAAAATTAGATTTTTTTAAAACCAGTTAACCGAGACATAAAAACTGGATAACTCGGTTAACCGAAAACCAATGTTTAAAAAAAAACGGTTTGCGAAAAACTGAAATATGTATTAAAAACCGGTTTTTCGGTTAACCGGTTTATAAACACTATTTGTAAATAACGGTTTCCATGTTATTGTTTACATTTTCCGCAATGGTTTGGTAGCGTACGTAGGCTTCGATAAATTTAAATAAAATTTAATCTAGATTGAATTTTGAAAAAAAGGAAAAAAAACCGTTTCGGTAGATTTTATTGAGGATTATTGTGAATTAATTTCAACGAATTTTATTAAATTTATCTATGTAAAAAATCTGAAAATTTTACGAAAAATTAAAAATTTCGATTACTTTTACTGTTACACAAATTTTCCTGATATCCCATTGAAAATAATGATACCAAAATCTATCCTTTGGAAGAAATATGAAAAAAAACATAAAAACCTCAAAAAAGGACCTTTTTATCCTATGATCCAGCTCGCCAAATATTGACCCCAGGACAAAAATTTAGAGAAACTCTATCTTATAATCAATTAAACTTTAATTTTAGTCGGGAACATCGACACCTTATTTTTCCTCCACCCTAATGTAGATACATCCTCCCATCAACCTAACCATATAAAAAAATTTTATTCCACATGATTTTTTTATTCGCCAATGATGAAAATTTAATATTATACATCCATCCTCAACCCAACCATATAAAAAAATTTGAATCCACATCATTTTTTTATTCGCCAATGATGAAAATTTAACATTTTTCGGATCTGATGTACATCCTTTATTCAATTTAACCGAATAAGGGTCAATCGATTGAATACCCTTCAAACATAGACGATGTCGACATGTAACTAAGTTATTTTTTCGCTATGCTGTATCAACATTACACCAACTAAATGTGAATGCACTTGTACATATTTAAAAATAAATAATAGAACATACATTTATTACACTTTTATTAATCGATTTTATTTGTTTTTAATATTTTGTTTAATTAATATTTTATATCAAAATTGAAATTTAAATAAATTGCTAATATATAAATGAATATGAGAATATCGTTTACTATATAAATGATGAATGTTTGTATATGAATATAGTATTTTCCTTTATGTATGTATATATTATGTATGTATATTATATATTAATAATATTTAGAAAAGAAAAGGGTGACTCTATAATGAAAATATATTTATATTTAATAATTAATATTAAATATTAATAATAATTAATTATTATTAATGTATGTATAAATGTATATATATGTATATACTAGGTATATTTATAAATAATACATTATTATATTTATTATAATTAGACAAACAAACAAAAAAATATAAAACGAATTTGAAAGTTAACTTATTACGGTAAATTATTATTTATTATAAAATATATGTATGTCTGTTGAAAAAAAACTGTTTGCTTAACGAGAACATGTAATTCAAAAGAAACAATAACGAAAAATCAAAATACATACATTTAAAAATGTGGCGTGTTTGTTTGTGTTTTATGTATACATATACATACATAATATGTATGTATGTATGTTTTATATGCATGTATGTGTGTTGATTATTAAATAAAATTCATAAAAATTTATTTAAATACATTCATTTAAATACATTATTACATTTATGTGTGTGATTGATAAATATTAAACGCCGTTTGTAGTTTTTTTTGTCTGTGTATGTTTTGCTTATTATTATAATTATTATTTCCACAAACGCTTTTTTTGATTTTCTATTTTATATAATTAATAATTCTTATTGTTTTATTTGTGTTTCAGAAAAGCGTTTTCCATATACATAATTTGTATATTACCATTTATGTATAACTAATACTAATTTCTTTCATAATTTTTGTTTAGTTCTCATCGTGTTCTTCTTTCATTCTTTTTCGCAACTATTTTCAATATCTTGTCTAAGAGTTGATTAATTGGTAGTCCGTTAAATTAGTTTAGAGTTTGGAATTACATAAAATTTAACTGTGTCTTAGTTAATTGTCCATTTAAATTGGATTAGAATTATTTGCATATGAAATACGTGTGTGTAAAACAAGCTAAAAGTTTGTAAAAAAGAAAACTTCTTTCACTTGTAGTTTTTCTTAAGAGCTGTTGCTACTGTAGTTTTCATTGCAGTTGGTGATGTAGTTAGTTTTGTTTTTGTTATTGTTGTTGAAGATGGAGATGACATCGTGGTTATGTTAGGGTTTCGTGATTTTGTGGGTGCTTGTTGTTTGGAAGCAGCATAAAGCATTTATCAGTAGGCTTGCGCTTCTTTGTAATCACTCTGGTCTGATGTAAAGAAATCCTCCAACTTCCATTGCAGAGTCTCAAATGTGGGTCGTCTCATGGGGTCTTTGTGCCAACATTCTAACATAATCTCATAAAGTCTTTGATCGCAATTTGGCGGCTGTGGCATACGATAACCATGCTCGACTTGCGTTAATACTTCTGCGTTGGTCATTCCTGAATAAAAAAGTAACATGTGTTATGTTGATTATTTAATGCTAATTTCACAATTTGAAGTAAATAATTTAGTAATATTTAAATAAACTTGCCTGGATATGGAATACGTCCATAAGTTACTAATTCAGTAAGTAAAATGCCGAAACTCCAGACATCAGATTTAATGGAAAACTTGGAATAGTTTGCAGCTTCTGGAGCAGTCCATTTAATAGGGAATCTAGCACCAACGCGGGCTTCATACTCATCTTCTTTAATAAGTCTTTAAAAATGCAATAAAAAATAAGTTTAATTTATGCAAATGCAATCAAACAATTCGCGTAAGTTATATAATAAAAACTTACCGTGCCAAACCAAAATCGGCTATTTTAACAATATTGTTATCTCCCACTAATACATTTCTCGCAGCCAAATCTCTGTGAATGTAATTCTGAGATTCCAAATAAGCCATACCAGCAGCTATTTGAGCAGCCATATCAATTAGCACCGGCATTTTAAGACTGCGACCTTTACCTGCAATAGCTGAACAAATGAAATTACACTGACAAAATTATACACGACAATGGAGTAATGAATGAAATGATATGTTTCAAAATATAAATAGACCAGACCAAATCGCATGTATCATGTTTGTATGTATGTTTATTTACATAAGTATGTACGAGTATGCATATCTCTCAGTATGAGCAGCTCAACTAAAGGTGATGATTATGGACGATTATTGGACGGCTCTCGCACTTGTTTGGTAATTGAATAAGAAAAAACTCAGTTATACATATAATTACTTAATATCGATAGTACTGAAATGTTATTCGCACTATGCATGATGTTTCAACAAAAGATTTAAGCATTTCGTACAAATTAAATAGTAGATTTTTATGTGGGCATAATATAAATTTAATAGTAAAAATATTTATTCCAAATTTACCTTGCAAATATTCCAGAAGAGAACCGTGCTTCATCAGTTCGGTTATAATATAAATCGGTTCCTCAACTGTACATACCGCATACAACTGTATAAGTTTATTGTGGCGGAGTTTTTTCATAATTTGAGCTTCTGCTAAAAAGTCTTTTGGATCCATTGTGCCTAATAATGCAAGAAAGAGAGTGTGAGAAAGGCATTTATAAAAACACATTTAAATCCATTTTAGAAATATAATTTACCTGATTTGAGAGTCTTTATAGCTACCGATGTGGTATTATTCCAAAGACCCTCCCATACCTCACCAAACTGACCAGAACCCAATTTACGTACGAACTTAAGGGAGGTTCTATCAATTTCCCACTGATCACGAGTTCGATGTGATAATCCTTCGGTGACAGGTTTTTCAATCTATTTAAAAAATTAATAAATAATTTCAGTCAGTAACAATTTATATACATAATATGTTTTTTATTATTCTCTAGCATTGTTATCTAAATTTAGAGGAGGAAGTATAAATGTTGTTAAGTTGATGTTTTGTTGTGCTGATTGGATATCTAAGTTTTATGAACATTTAAATGATTTGAGGTCATGAATACAGCTCAATATTTTTAAGAAAAATAACAAAATAATTTAATGAATTTCGGTTTGTACGATAATTTTGAATGATAATGAACCATCAAATTATTTTTTTTTTTAAGTTTTGTGATACAAACAGTATTATTCTGGATTCTACTATAAAAATAAAGCAATTGAAATGCACACTACCTTCAAAAGTGATTTAATTTTTGGTCCTTTTAAAAATGGTAGTAAACATTCAAAATTTCGAACCATATTCACATTCAGAGTTTTAATTATATCAGAGATTATTCAATAGTTGTATTTTAAATTAAACACTGTTTTTTAGCAAAAGATAGTCGACCAAAAATTTCATAATTCAAAATCTGGGATTTTGTTATAAAAAGTACCAAAAAACATCAGCAGTGCAATAATCTTTATGATCCTAGCAAAATCTTGGTAATGACTTGTACTTACTTAACAACTTATATTTCAATGACTACTTCATATCTAGTAATGACTTATATATAACCTGAAATATGTATACTATACATACATATATATGTATGAACTTATTTTTAAGGCTGTTGCCATTTTGCGTCAGCATACAATTGTTCTTTGTACAAACAAAAAAATAAAACAAAAAAGCGACCGTTTGTATCCTTGACTATTATATTTTTATGTCAAACAGAACAACTTACTTCACAACCTACATATATCCAATGACTTATTTAAGTCCCTATTTGTAAGCGAATGTGGTAAGTAAGAAAAATGTATATTAGCTGATCAACTCATTACTTTTTAAAGTAAGTTTTTGCTGAAGATTAACCTTTTGAAAATGGAAAAAGCTTTTAAATATACAAAAACACATTTTAATAAAAATTAATAATTTCTATATACTATATTAGAAACCATACATGGGATTTTTTCATTAAGCATTAACATTTCATTACCATTTATAGAAAAAATTCGAATGAAAAATATTTTAAGTACCATTTAATGAATATTATATTTTTTTCATTATAACTTTTATGATATGTAATGGTAATGAATTTGTAAATGAATTTTCAAAAACAAATTTAATTAGTATTTATAATTGTTGAAAAATCTTTTTTAAATTTGATAAGAATTCAGGAAAATTTTTCGAAGAAGAAATTTGGCAGTCATAAGTACATCTAATGACAATACAATAATATGGCCAAATACTCGAAATTAAGTTCAAAAATTCGAAGTTATGGTCGAAATTTTTTTTATTCGAAAAATGTTTAAAGCAGTTAAAACTAGTTCTTCTAGTCCGAATGGACTGAAATTTGGCATGCATGACAATACAATATAATATTAGGATATTCGAAATTAACTTCGAAATTCGAACTAATGTTCGTTTTTTTGAGGCCAGTTTCTCCCATTTTATTTTTTCTATACCATTGAAGAATAATGGTAATGAAAATTTCATTTTAAATAATTACTAATGAAATCGTTCCATTCCAACGAAATCGTCAATTAATTAGTCGATATAATTAACTATTCCCATGTATGTTAGAAACTATAGATATTTTGATTGGAATAGCTAATTTGAAAAATATAAGTTTTTTAGAAGAATGAAACAGTTTAATAAGCGAAATAATGAACAAATCGACAATGTACAAAAACATATGATTTTGACTATTTAAATAACTTAAGTTTCAAATTTTATTATTTATGTATAATGTTTTAAAAAATTACACTTTGCATCGTTGCAAAGAAATGTTATAGTTTTCAATATTTAGACACAAGTTCTAAGCGTGATATAACAAACATTTATTTGAAATTCATAATTTGATACTATAAAGAGAAATGGAAGCTGTTTGGAATACGTGACAGCAACTAGCACAATTACAGGTACTGATGGTGTTTTTGGTGGTTATGGAGGTATGCATGGATGACAATAACTTATTGTGATTTTGTGGCTGCAGATTGTGGTTACAATAATAGTAAAAAAGAAAAGTATTACAACGACAATTATACTTATTTATGTTTTTCAACAATCCTACCTCGAATATACCCGCAAATTGACTGGTCTTTTTTGTTATGTGTAAGTTTTTTTATTTTTTTAAATTATAATAATTATAATAACAAACATATTATTTATTGTTAGTTAAAGGTTAGTAATACAAATTTATAATAAGAGAAATATAAAAAACAGAAGAATGAAAATTATTTGAAATAAAAGTATGTATCTGTGAATTGGTTTGAGTTTAATATACTCTCCACATTGTTGGTTCTCTATAATAAGAAGCCAATAGATAAAAATGCGAGTTTTTGTATTGAATTTAAAGTTTATCGCTGTTCTGGTGGAGGGTATATTGAATGTGGAGGATTTTCTCTAATTTTATTATTTGTAGATATGTAATATGTATACAATTGATACATGTTTGTATGGTGAACATATAAATATTAGGGCGTTTTACTAAAAATAAAAACACTTTTGGGTCTTTTTAAATAATTATTTAATGTGGAGAATTATTTAGATATGCATTTTTAAAATATCAAATTGCTCCGAAAACTAAATTTCAACAAAAAATGGAAATTAATATGCGAAATTCTCTTTTTTTGTGAAACGCCCTAATGCACCTATACATTCTATGTAAGTACGAAAATAAATAAATGTAATGGAAATGCTAAAAGTTCTTTTATTATACTACATAGAAGATACGAACGTATGTACATAAACATAACTACATACATACGATGCATTATTTTGTTATGAAGTAGATATTCATTCATACATGTCGATCTTACCTGTACACACGGTTTGCATAAATTAACACACAGGCCATCGGAATCCTTAGAATAGTGTTCAACCAGTTCTTGGAGAGTTCTATAACAAGAATATAAAATCATTAATAATTTATAGGTAATTGTAAACTAAATACACTGTTGCTCAAATAATAGTGTATTTTAAATCCATTTTTTATATTCTCGTATCTTTTTTTTGATCAACTAAAAAAGGCATGAGTTATTTTAAATCTGCTTCTGATATATAATTATATAAATGCAATTAGTTATAAACTAATGTGTTTTATTAAATTAAATAAAAATCGTGATTCGGTTAAGGATTTATTAACCCAGACAAATTTTACAAAATTATTCAAGGGTTATTTTAAACAAAAACAGATTTTTATAAAAACGTTATTTAAAAGTGCTGTGAAAGAGTTTCGAAAAGAAAAATGTTTTCATTCATTAAAATCGGAAATGTATATCTATGAATTTTAAAATCAGCTCACATAATTTTTATATAAATTGTGAAATTTGGTAACGATCTGTCCACATATCGCGAAAAGGCACGAAAAGACACAAAAATCTTGATTACCGAGTGATTTATACAGATATCGAGAAAAAAGTTTCGGATTTTCTATAGCTTTCTGATGTAGGAGTTATATATCCGATAAAACTAACAATTTTCTAACAAAGTAATAATTTGATACTTAAAAGTTTGTTTTGGAAAATTTACCTGAATGTTGTGCGTCTTGCTATAAAGAAACCACCTTCGTCTAGTTGTCGAATGCGATAATGTTTCACTGTATCACCATCACGAACTATAAAAAGAAATCAAAAAAAAAAAAATATATATTTATTAAATACAATTTTGGAAAGACGTCTTTTAAGATTAAAGAACAGCTTTAATGGAAATATTTGAAATTAACTGAATAGAATAACTATTTTTGAATAATAATTGCTAAAACAAAAAAATGTTTTTGAAGATTCTTAATTTCCGAATACTTTGTTACTGTGAAATAATAATCACAATTTTTTTAATCTTACCAGATAGTGAATAATCATTATGACGACTCTCAGAGTCTCTAATTAAAAATGCTCCATGCTCATTTTCTGGCAGTAATAATTTCTTTTCAGCCTCAATACGTTTAATTTTACGGAAGTACCAACTGCAATGAAAAACAAGATAGAAAATAAAATAATTAGTATTGTATTTATATTAGTTCATATATTTTAATAACTATGTATATAAAAACAATTGTCCAATTCACAGTCAATGTCGTAATTTAAATTTTTTGTTGATTTGCATTCTTATAAAATCAAAGAACAATGAATCATCATCGATCAATTGAAATATTTTTTAATATAAACAAAACAAATTACAATAAGAGATACATAACGAAATAAATAGAAATGAAAAAATGTTTTAAAGTTCTCAGGTTTAGAAAAAATGTATATATATTTATACCCTCTCTTATAAACCCTAATACATATTAATTTAGCATAAAAACCTTTTATGTAAATACATATATGTACATTACCATAGCAAGGCCTTGTAGAGCGTAAAGAGATGTTACGGAATATGATACTATTTTTTTGGCGATCGTGATAAATATAATGTCTAAATGAGAAAAATAAGTATTTTTGGCACGAGTTTTGCAATTTAATTACATATTCTTAAAGATAAAATTATTCTTTACAACCCTATTATGGAATTTATAAAAAATCGCGATTATATTGCAGATGTTGAGTTATAGAAAAAAAAGCTTTTTATTATCAGGATATTATCAGCTAGTGTTGTGGTATTTTGACATACATATCCCTCGCTTAGCTTAAATATATGTACGTATCGCAACTAAGGCAAATTTGGACTTTATTAAAGTTCAATCACATGTTTTATTTTCTATTCGTTTATAACTAATGTAGGGTATCATATGGTCGGTTATGTCCGACTATATTTTATTACATGTTTTTCAATATTTAAAGTTTGAAAATGTAAAGATTTTCTATTTGGCTGCTTTTAAGTTATAGGTTCCTCTTTCAATTTTAAGAACACTAATTGATCTTAATTAAACGTTCACGCAATGTTAATGATCAATGAATGCTATTGACTTTTAGATATTTTCATGTGAACAGTAGAATTTGTTAATTTGGTAGGAGGATATAGAAATATAAGGTGAGACAATGATAGAAAAGTGCATATTTAGAAAATAACCATAAAATATTGATATAATTATCAAACTTTAAGTCCATTAAAAGCTAAAAATCTCAAACAATTATATTTTTTAAACTTTACACTAGATAAAAAAGACACAATTTAAACAGATGATTATAAAAGTTTTGATTGGCCAAATGGTCGTTAAATCCATATGTGTTAGTTCTAACTGAAATTTAATGTCATAATCTGCACTTTGAACAGATTCCGTTTGGTTATGCATTCCTTGAATACATATTTCTAAAATTTTGCTTTACAACTTATAAAAAGTACATATATAAATAATGGATTATTTGCTGTAGATTGGCTGTAACTTTTAGGTTTTGAGCTAATATATCTTACTGAACTTTTTATCTAATCTAAATCTGTAAATTTGGTCAAACTCTAAAAAAGAATTTTTTACCCAACTTCATTCCACATACCATGATTTGCTAGTGGGAAATTTGCGATTAATTAAAAAAAAATTACTATTTCTTACTAATTTAGAATGTTAATTATTAATTAAATATAAAAAATCTAAATTCCACTGAAAGGTGTTGGAAATTTACTAATGATTCTATAAAGAAAAATTATTTTCTCATTACAAAAATTTTACAATGTTGTTTTGGTATTAATGTATATATTTTTTTCGATTTGCTTCATTAGTTGCATACATTTTATAAATGCTAATTATAAAACTATTTGCACAAAAAAATTAAAATAAATTACAAAAACAATGAAAATAATAAAACGTAATTAAATAAATTTATTTGTAAACTTCGATTAGCTTGTGAGCACACTTTCAATATTATTTTAATGCATTCATGGATGATGACATGCGGCTTTTCAAATGACAATAAAATAATAAACAATAAAAATTAATTAAGAATTAGAAATTTAAGAGAATATTTTTGTAACTTGCAACAACGAAAAACGCGTATAAAAAAGTCATTAAACATCACTTCCACAGAAGGTAAAAAAACATTCACTTATTGCTACTTTTGAAGTGGTGATAAATGTAATTCTTTTGGAAGTACTTCGCTTTATTTTTACTGTATATTTATGTCCTTCTATATATTAAAATCAGCTTTACGTAGATATCTTCTAAATACTAAAATTTTAGATTATTCTATTAAATATGATTTTAAGAATTTAAAAACTAATAAAATTTGTCCATAAATATAGGAAATATGATAACAGTTCGAAAGAACTAAAAAAATATAGAACAAATTTTAACTCGTTTGGTGCGGACAGAAGCGAAAATGTAAGATTGTGTTTCTTGGTTTGGTGAAAGTGTTATATGAAGAATTTGACATTAAAAATTATAACATCTAAAACATAGTAGATATTATTTTGTTTGTGTTATACTTTGTTATTTAAATGTATTTTTTTTAACATTTTATCTATTTTTAGCTTAGAAATTGGAAAAAACTATTTTTATAATAAAATCCATCAAGTAAGATGAGTAGAGTTTGTCTTCATACGTTCTTTGTGTCCGAATACAAATTAGCCTCATCCGCTTTGGAAATGTTGTTTCAATTGTTTGTTTTTGCTTTTTAGTGGTTAACGACCAGAGTCATTAATGGTGCTACAACATCATCTAGAAGCTGAATTTAAGACATCAGTCAGTTATTGTTTATATTGTTGTCTAATAGTGTATCAATCACCTAAACGGATGGAGGTGCGGTTGAATGATTGAATGCACAACTTGATGTACATGAATATCTATACATTTATTCATACATCCATCCATTCATCTAGCCATTAAGAAAAGAAAGAAATATTGCTCCAAACTTAAATGATGTTTGGATTGATTTACGAATGTATTTATAGTCGTCACTACAATTGACCATTCATTCTTGTTCAACTTTTCAAATAAACATCTGGCGCCCGTAAATTGCAACATTTTAAAAAACTCTCTAACAATCACAACAGGCTATAAACGAATATTTTAACATTGACCAACAAACAAACTAACCATCAAGATCGTCGTCATTCACTGTTAATATGGATTTCTTTTTTTTTATTCCAACAATGTTGTCTGTTACAAGGTGCCGCAAAAGAAATCATTCTAAACGCTCTAATTTTAGCAAATGACGCCATTTTTTATTTTAATAATGTCATTTTAAAAAATCTCATTTAAACGTGTAAAACTGTCATAATTAAGGTCTGAGTTAGGGATCAAATCTCGCGTGATCGCCATTATTTCTTAAGGACGAATAGGCTTGTGTTTGTTGCCAATCTTTCGACAGAGTTACGTCTCATTTGCACGAATTGAGTGTATTACTCCGCATAACTGTTTCCAAGTTGTTTGCATAATTGCCTGCTTTCGTTTCACTTACCTCATTTGAGGTTATGTTTGATTAAATTGGTGTAGACCAAATAATACTTTTGATTAATTAATTGTTCGGGGCTCCAACTTCCTATATAAAGGTACAGGTCGATTGGAGGGCTTTCTCCGAACCAACAAATTACAGAGTGACAAAAAATAAACATGTAAAATGTCTAAGATTTTTTCAACTGGTTTCAAAATTTGGAAAATTATATGTTCAGATTCGGTGATTCGTTTAACTGATTACTGTTCTCACAATAACACAATTTGTTATACTTTTATGGGCTTTGCAAGAAAGTACACAATTTGCAATTGAGCGATTTCCTAAGACTTAATTTCTAAGAGTTTTGAATTTGGCACATCGGGTTAAAAAAATAAAATCATTGCAAAGTTGTAGTTGGATTCGGTTTAAAAATTATGAAAACTAAATTTTTCGGAAAGCCAACTTAAAAAAATATTTTAACGAAAACATAGAAATGTGGTGCAGAAAATTAACATATATCACTTAAGTCTTAGGAAATCGCTCAATTGCAAATTGTGTACTTTCGTGTAGAATTTAATTTGTAAATTATTATAAATTTTGAAAATATAATCGAAACAAATTATCCGGTTTAATTTTTATTATTATGTGTAAATTAATCGTTGAGTGTGTTATTTAATGTTAATCAATTCATTATTATTAATTCAAATCAAAAGGGTGATGGAAAGAGAGAGATAGAGAGAAATATGAAATAAGTAACAAATAACACAAAATACTTCCGTAACTTCGGCATAATTGAGACAATCATTACATACAATATCAATGTAAAAACTAACGTAATAACATAAAAAATGTTATTTTAACATTGACCTTAATATTGAAAAAAAATCAAAAATGTCTCGATTGAAAAAGAGTTTAAGTGAAGTCAACGGCACACATTTTATTTTTCAGTTTATTACGAGTTCATATTTTGTTTGTAATATCTTTATTATTTTATATTTTTGATTTTTAACGCGTAATTGCAATGACAAATACATCTTAACAATTTATGAAAGAAATGCTTCATCATTATGATTGATCATTATTTTATTTATAAAATATAAAGATGCAAAATTTTTTAAAACTACTTGTATCTGTACTAGGGTAGATAGGGTCAGTTTTTCTACTTCTACAATATGCAATTTTTTATAAATTTTTATTTTTTAAATATCGAGCAATTGTTTTTTTAATCAAAATTTAGCATATGCATTATTAACTTGGTTAATTCTGAATTTTGAAATTGAAAACGATATGTATTTTTTGTTTTAAAGAATTGTAAATGAAAATGTACAATAATTGGATGGTAATATTTTAAGAAATATCTACTTTTTTAATTTTCAAAATAATAAAACTCCAACTCCGATTAAAAAAATATCTCCCATATCACTGCTATTGTTACGATGTTGCTACAAAAACTTAATTAACAAAAACGAAGAAAAAACTTGGATAAAACGTGCTTGATTTAAATTTATTATTATTTCTTTGGAATCGAATGGTAGGCCAAACTATTTTTATAACAACATACAGTTTACCACAAGTTAATGTAGCCAGTATTTTGTTTTATAAATAGCAGATATCTCAAAGAACACTCTCTCTTAATTAGTATCTAGACTTAGAAAGAAGA